CCTGTGTTTCTTCCTGGTTGATAGATCGAGAAGACCAGGTGTTATGGGTGCTTTCTGAGCAGTTAATAAGGATATAACGAAGACCTGTCCACCAACTCCCCGTCCACCAACTTCTGTTTGGTGTCGAAGTTTGAGGTGGTTCTGTCTCACCTTTCTTCCTGGTTGATAGATCGAGAAGACCAGGTGTTATGGGTGCTTTCTGAGCAGTTAATAAGGATATAACGAAGACCTGTCCACCAACTCCCCGTCCACCAACTTCTGTCTGGTGTCGAATCTTGAGGTCGTTCTGTCTCACCTGAGGCCTCCTGGTGGATAGATCGAGAATACCAGGTGTTATCGGTGCTTTCTGAGCAGTTAATAAGGATATAACGAAGCCCTGTCCACCAACTCCCCGTCCACCAACTTCTGTCTGGTGTCGAATCTTGAGGTCGTTCTGTCTCACCTGAGGCCTCCTGGTGGATAGATCGAGAATACCAGGTGTTATCGGTGCTTTCTGAGCAGTTAATAAGGATATAACGAAGCCCTGTCCACCAACTCCCCGTCTACCAACTTCTGTCTGGTGTCAAAGTTTGAGGTGGTTCTGTCTCACCTGAGGCCTGTGTTTCGTCCTTGTGGATAGATCGAGAAGACCAGGTGTTTGTCCACCAACTCCCCGTCTACCAACTTCTGTCTGCTGTCGAAGTTTGAGGTGGTTCTGTCTCACCTGAGGCCTGTGTTTCATCCTGGTGGATAGATCGAGAAGACCAGGTGTTATGTGTGCTTTCTGAGCAGGTAATGAAGACATAATGAAGACCTGTCCACCAACTCCCCGTCCACCAACTTCTGTCTGGTGTCGAAGTTTGAGGTCACTCTGCCTTGCCTGGGCCCTGTAAACACCGAAAACGAACTTAGAATGATTGAATGGGCGGATTTAAGCCTTTTTTAAACTAGTTAACCAATGTTTTGGACAGATGACATCTTGAACCTAAGGCTACTACATGGTACTTTATGGTTTATGGTCGAAAACATGATTTGGCCAAAACTTTATTGAAACAGATGAAATACAGTGTATTTGGGTGTAGATATTCGATGTGAACCAGCCTATACTCTCCAGTTCACAAACTATGGCCTCCTTGAGGCTCTATTCATGAAACAACCAAAATCAAAATATTTTCCATTTCGAGTATCACATGATATTATTACCAGTATTTTGGGTTCAAATCATTGTTATAGCCTATATCAATGAACAAGAACCCATTAGCCATCACTCAAGCACATCTGATATAATGAACATGGTAAACAATGATGTAAAATAAGATCACTCCAAATCACTAGGTATGGGGTTACCTGAATGCCACCTAACACCCTTTCCAGTTCAGATAAGTGGTTTCACTTCCACTGACATGGTCTAGAGCCTTGTATATCATAGGAGAACCCATATCAAACCCAAACACCCCTTCATCAATATGTTCAAAATATGCTTTTCCTTCTCAATAAGCCATTAACTGTGACCTAAAATCTGTGTTGGTAGCCTAATGGCAACTGAAAGGACCCTCAAAAGTCGCTATGACTGCCATTTGGCCAAGGTACTTTACCAAAGCACACCTAATCAATTTTCGCTATTTTCACCGCATCAATTCAATGCAATAGACTTCAATGCACTCTGAATGACTTTTTATAGCCTAAGAAAACATAAACACACAATTAGATCGTTCCAAACAGCTTAATTTGGGGCCAGATAAGCAAACCTTCCTATTTGGGTTGTGAGGTGTTAGTGTCCCAAAAAGGAAGCCTGTCAATCAAAGCTCTGATTTCCTTTATCCTGAGGTTCAATCAACTTGATAGACCTTATTCAAGGGTAATATATGGTCTTACAACTCTAATTTACTGCGAAGAACGTGTAACAAACACTGTGGTCTATCAACTTCTTGTTGAGTCCACCAACTTCTCGGTTGGTCCACCAACTTCTTTGACCGAGAAGTTGGTGGACGCAACAGGAAGTTAGTGGCCACCCATTCCACTGACTTCCTTGCAAGCTTACTGGCACCCAAGAAATAAGAACGCTAGGCTGTGTTAACAAATTAACACCCAACACATCATTGCAAAGGGGAAAGGTTAAGGAAATGTGTGCCCCAAGACTGTTATTTGCTTGAATGTCCACTAACTTCTTGCACAAAATCGTTCCAAATCTGCTGAAAGTTGTGAATCATATTGCTATCCCTCAACCATGGCCTTATGTATTGTGATTCTCATCGAATATTTGGAAGCACAGCAATATTTCGAGTGTTCAGTGTATTTTGATGCGCCATCAAGAAATCAAAATCGCTATAACTTTCCGAGTATTGAGGCGCATCACATTTCGATTGCACGGCTATGTTCGTAGAATCAATACGAAGCTTTTTCATTTTTTGATGCCCGTCGTTGATGGCGACGTCGGGACAGTGTTCGGGGGGTCGCAGCGGTGCTCGGGACATTTTTTTGATGGGGGTGATGTCGGGGACATTGTTGAGCATCGGTGTGATGGGCGGCAGGTGTTGTTGATGTGATTGCAGTGTTGTGATGGGTGACGGTGACACCGACGACGACGATGGTGACAGCGACGGCGGCGGTGATGGTGAACGAGTGTCGGGAACGGCAGTGGGGCACTCAATACAGTTGGTGGACGGCGTTGGGCACTTACCCTAAGTCCCTCAGATATCGGATATAAGGGATTCCCAGGATTTCGCCTTAAGCCCTCTAGTTAGAGAGGGAACCCCCCCCCACGTTCCCTCTCTAACTAGAGGGGTTAGGTGGGCACATTAGGTGGGCCCAATCCCGCGCCCGTCTACCCCAAACAAGCCATTGCACGAGCTCTCGATGACGAGGTCGTGCGCGCCCTTGGCGACGGCCTCGGGCGGGATGATGTACTCGACGCGGCGGTCGCCGCCGTAGCCACCTGTGATGCCTTGCAGTGGCGTGCCGTCCGTGTCGAATATCATGGCTTCGCAGCCGGGATCGAATTCAACTGGAAAACGCGTCAGCGTTAATCGTACCGCAGCACAAGTGAGGTGAACGAGTGAGGTAGAGTAAAGGAGGTAAGGCACGCACAAGTAACCCTCTCCTCCCCCTCAAACTCGCCTTCGGGAAACACCAAATGCACGAGCCACCAGTGGTTCGTCCAGCTCGGGCCAAAGGAGTCGCCCTTCTCTGCGGGCTTAAAGTCCGCGCGGTGGGAGAGCGCTTCGGCGAAGGAGGGCTTGGTGAGGCCTGGGGCGGACCACCTTCAATGTATATGTTAACAATTCATCGTGGACACGAATGTGAGGCGGTGGAAATAAGTAGGGAAGGAAACGGGCACTCACACCCTCATCTGGACATACCCCTCCCCCTCCTCAATCCGCTTATACAACGCCGCCCCAAGGTTAACGTCGTTAAAATGCCCGCCGTTGAACTGCCCGAGCCTATCCTGCGTGAGGCGCTTGATCCACTTGGCGCCCGCGGAGGGGTTGAGAGTGGGGTAGGGTTTGTTGCTTGCGGTAGTCGCCATTGTGTTGGTTGTATTGGCTGAAGTAGCGGTGAGGGTACTCGAAGTGACAGTGCTTGCGCTCGTGGTGGAATAGGCGGTACTGCTTGGAGCCGTAGAGTGCGTATGCGTATGCGCGTGTCCGTGCCCACTGTCCTGCCGCGACATCCTCCAAAATCTGTCCCCGGCGTCGAAGGGCTGCCCGCTAGCCTGGGGCACGGCGGAGTGCATAGTAGCGTTCTTGAGGCCGTTGCCCGCGTTCGTTGGGCTATTAGGCCCGAATCTGTTCATCGTGCGTTGGTCGTCGTCGTCGAGCGTTAAGCGGCGTTGATGGCGGGGAAACGATCACGAATGGCAACAGTACGTGGAGCGGTGATGGTGGGCCGGGTGCCGTGTTCAAGTTCAACTTCGAGTTTGCTAAAAATTCGTGAGGCTCGGGGCGGTCCGGGTGATTTGCGAGATGGGTATTTGTGGCAGAAGACTGGGAGTGACAATTGGACTACCTCCCAACGAAAAAAAAAAAGTATCGCATGCTCACAAAGTCAGACGCGGGGATTCGAACCCCGGCTTCCCTCCAACTTATTCCACATTGTAACTTTGAAGGGCTGGAGGGCGTGCACCATGCACCACGTCCGAGTCACTGGTATGCAGTGATACCGCAGGATGTGGGTGCATTCTTGCAGTCCAGTTTTGTGAATGTGGTTTATTCAACTGACTGCCAACAACGCTTGACCAGACCAACAGGACTTCTTCACACAACTGAGAAGAGGAGGTATCAATGCTGTATGGAGTCGGCGGTACTGTTGATTAAACAGAGCACAAACAAAACGAAAAGAAATTGCAAGGCAATACCATCTACTCGGGCACGGGGAGTCGAACCCCGACTTCCCTCGTGATTGTACGCCGTTAGCAAATAGGAAGGGAGGGCGTGCACCGTACACTACATTCGAGGTGCATGCCAATAACGGCAGTGCGCCAAGTGAGTGCGATGGCAAGTCAAGGTACATCAAGATTTCAATTGGGTTCAATATTCATTCGACTTCAACTTTGGACTGAGATTGCGAATCGCCGATGCTTTTTTATTGTTATTGTAGTGTAGTAAGTGAGTATCAGGGAAGGTAATCGAGACAGGCCTGCGTCCAAGGGAAAAAAGAACAGTTCTCCGGGTGCATTCGAATGCAGACGCGGGGAATCGAACCCTAGCTTCCCTCACTTGTTGCAGCCGCCATCTTTACCGTGCCACGGTGTGAGGGCGTGCTCCATGCACTACGTTTGAATTCCTGGTTTTTATTGATGTTAGAAGACGTGGATACATTTCTTCTTGTTGCTACAACTTTTGAGGAAGGAAAAACGTACCTCCAACATCTATTCGGACACGGGGGGGTCAGGTATGTATACCCGACCTCGGCGGCACAAACTCAAAAGGAAACATGAACTGGGCAAAAAAAGTACCAAGACACTCGACTCATCCATGATCATGTGTAGTCACAGGAAAAAAAATGCATTTGAACAAGAACTATTCGGACACGGGGAGTCGAACCCCGGCTTCCCTCCAACTTATTGGTGGGTTTCCTTGGTCAGGGTAGGAGGGCGTGCACCATGCACCACGTCCGAGTACTCCTCTGTAACAATACTGCAGGACGTGGGTGCATTGTTTGCAGCATGAATAACTTTGTCAAGTCTTTTGGTTGAGTTCAACGGATTGCCAACAGGCGTGAACAGATCATCAGTATGGCAACACTGGTAGTGTTGCCGCAGATCGAGTCGGGTCGAGCCGGTGTCACCAACTCGTCTCAACTCGATCAACCGAGTTGAGCCGAGTTTTGATCGAGTTGAGACGAGGTGGCGTTCCCATCAGTCTCACGGGCCCAATTTGGAGCGAAGCGTCAAGAAAGGTGGAGAAAGAGGGCAGGGGAGGTGTAATTTGAAGGTATTGAATACAACACTCTCAGGTACTTCAATTTAAGGAGTTTGTCCGTTCTTTTGTAATTTTTTGGCAAGTGAAACTACGCAGTTCTCCCGAACCATCTAATTGAGGTGCCAAAATGCTCTGGAAAATTTATGGAGGCAGTTTCATATCCCAAGACTCGCATAATGTTTTTGGGGGCGGCATCTGAGCTTCTAGGACATGCCTATGCTAAAAAATCATTCTGCTGGCTGCTTTTGATGAAGCCTGTCAAAGTTTCTGGCGGATGGGAAGATATTGGCATCAAATTGATCAACTCGACTGACACCGGTGTGTAACTCGACTCGGCTCGACCAGTTGAGTTCATCAACTCGGCAGGGGAGTCGAGCTCAAAATCAGATCCAACTCACACCGACGGCAACACTAGGCAACAGGGACTGGACAGCTCAAGTTTTTGACGGCCGGTGGTTGCACATCGTGATTGGCGGGGTGCCGAGTGATGAGACCCCGAAACCAGTCCCCGATGCATATTCCAGGTATGCCAACCCCCGACTCTTGGCCCATATCCACCCAGTTCCCAGCCTTTTCCTTGGGGGACGGAAGGGAGCCCGGAGATAACTGACAAATGGGGATTTCCGGACTTCTGCGCCGAGTTGAATCCGCTGAGCGGCCTGAGGCCACCGGGTGCTTCAGGGGTATAGAATTATTAGCTCATGATGAGGCTCGAGCGTTGGATGTCAATGACAGTGTACTGTGACGAGACTCTTCTGGGCTACAGAGTAGATTATAATTTCCTTGTGATGATGGTGGCCCTCGCGCAGAATCAGGATACAGTAGTCAAATGTTGTGAGGTCCTGGTCCGGTCCCGATAATTCGAGAGGTGGGGACCTTGCGTAAGTCTTCCAAAAACCAAGAAGTTCACACAAAGTTGAGTGGTTGAAGTATTGGATTCCAGAAAACTAAAGGAACTACCTACCACTGTCTACTGATATACTGTTCTTGTAAGTGCCATCGGGCATCTCGGGCAAGCTGCCAGTGTAAACCTGTATCTGTGCATTGTAGCACTCTGTAGATTAGTCAGTAGCATTGTAGAATACACACCACAAAAAAGGAAATTTCAGCCCGGCTGAATTGGTTCCCGAAAGTTTTAGATTAAGCTACAAAAAAAATGCCGCTGAATTTGCGCACGAAACTGTAAGATTCAGCCCGGCAAAAGCGTTGCCGAAACCTGAAGAATCGGCAACATTTTCAGTCGCGCTTAAACTGAGGATGAAATCACTGCATTCGGCCCGGCTGGAAGTGTAGCCGAAACCAGCAAATTCGGCACCAGTTTCGGCCACGATGAAACCAACGCCTTCGGCCCGGCTGAAAATGCGGCCTGGATCAGTAGTTTCGGCTGCGCTTTCAGCCTGGCTGAAAGCACGGGTTTCGGCCCGGCGGAAACCGCAGCTGAAAACAATAGTTTCAGCTGCAGTTTAGGGTGGGCCTAAATCACGGCCTATTCTTATTGTTTCGGACAGAGTTTCGGCTTTAGCCGAAAGCATTGCTTTCACACAGGCCGAAATTAAGCTGCAGCTCAGCAGCAGCTCAGCGGCGCCTCGGCGGCATCGACGGTACCGCTCATCGGCAGATCATTTTTTATTATTATTTCACGGATTCCGCAAAACTGATGTTGCAGATGTTGCAGCCACTCCTGTGGTCATTATTTGTGAATAAGGATTGAATGAGAATGGCAACGACAAAAAAGGCGATTCAACCGACGTTAAAGACGTGTTCTTTGGTCTTCTTTGGTTTGACGCGCCCACGTGCATGTGGCGGTGCAGTCTTTTGTTCCCCCGCCGCATCTTATTGTTCTGCCCTCAATTGTTATGATTAAGTAACCAGGTTCCCAGTCAATCGAGGCAAATTTTCCTAACACGCGGCGGAACTCTTGTCAGCGGTAGGCAGTAGCCTACCGCCGACTCGCGGTCTTTGACTTTAATTTAATGAGGGGGTGGGCATCGTTTTCAAAATTCACAGTCATGACTGCCACTCCTCTGGCTGGGTGAGTGGTAGGCAGCAGTCTCACACTGCTTATCATGATCAGGACTCATTATATTCTCTACGCGGAGTCGGCTGAAGTTGCTTTAGACGTTGCAGCAATTCCTTTAACAATTTGTGGGAAGTGGGCGGCAGCAGCTCCATTACCATTATTACCTACATAAATAACCGCGTCGCCGCTGATACGCACCGCTGCCGCCGAAGATTTTTCTTTCTTTGTAGCAGATAGGTCACCGAATAAAACTGAATCTACGGTAGGTATATAACAAGCACTGACTTACTATCCTACTAATAGCAAACCGTGGCCGGTATTGTTAAGCAATAGCTCGGGGATAGGCGGCCGTACCATGGTTTGAGTAGCAGCCCGGTTCTTGACACCGCGGAAGCGGCACTTTGTCAGCGTAGGCAGGGTAGCAGACTTGCGGCTGCCTACCCCCGACTCACCTCACCGTTTGAAGGAGCGGTGAGGGCATTTTTTAAGCAGTCACAGTATACCATTACCCGCCAGGACTGATTGTCCTTCAAGCGGAGTAGGCTGAACTTGCAGCTGTTCCTGTAACCATTTGTAGCGGCGGGTGGTAGCAGCTTCAGTGCTGCCATCACCTAGATGGTATTAAAAGCCTGTGGACCGCGTGTTCAGCTAATCAGTCGGCGGATATTTACGCTCGTCCAATTGTCTTGCACAGCAGGTGAGATCTTGGTTTGGTTCAATATTATCTTGCCGCCGATGTGCTGCCACCGCAGACGTTGTTTATGGATCACCCGCTCAAACTCAATCTGCGGTGGGTAATAAGCATTATATGCACCAAAGGCGGCCTATTATTCTCGAGTGGTAGCTCAGGAGCCTTACCGCTGATTTTTGGACGGTACTTCAGACAAAAATATGCTACTGCCCAAAAAGGAATATTCACTATTGTTGCCAGTCTGTGAATACAATGCAGCGAAAGTCTTCAACGGTTACTGCACTGCCCCTGCGTCTGACATCTCACCTTTCAGCATGGTATACAGTCCGCACCGAGAATTCACATACCGTTCGGCGAGAACGATGCCGTTCTGCGCGCTTTCGCCGAACTACCCAAGCGTGCGTAGAGCCGTGAGGCGGAAGCCCGCCAGACGCGGTTACTTCAACAGCACAGCGTGATCTCAAGTGAACAGGCCGTAGATATGGCAGATAAAGTACACCCCGCAGCGGAATCACGCTGATCAATGGACCCTAGTGAGCTTCATTCAAGTGTTTACTTGAAATTTGAGTGAAATTTATGCCAACACACTTCAATTCGAATTCGACATTTGAGCTGGTTGAGCAGTTCCTCAGTATTCTACTCCATGACGCCACGCCGAGGAGGCCCTGAACATTGTTTCATTTAGTTAAGCTCGAACTCGGGGAAAAATATATGATACTCACGAATGCCAACTTGTCCAAGCTTAGAAATGTGGTGGCCGCTCATGAAAACTGCCACCCGATGAGCACTCATCGGCGACGGCAGTTCGCGCATACCCCAGGCATTATGCTTCGAGTCAAAGCGAGCGGTACCCTTGGGCAATCTTGAAATCAGATTCGGTGCTTGGAGAAACCGTATGTGAATACCTTGACGCCGTACTCCCGGTCCGTGGAGGCAGAGGGTATATGCCCTCCAGCTCCACCGACAGAGAGGGATATTCTGAGGGAAGGCTTACGCACCGGCGGCGGCAGCAGAGTTCTGCTAATGCGCCATTTGCTAGTTGGTAGCACTCGACCTGCTCCGTCCTTTTGCAGCATCTATCTCGGCTGGAATATGAGGAGCAAGAAAAACAAGTAACCTTCAGCGATCACACACCGTCCCAGGCTGGCTCCACCATCCCCCGACCTATTTCTATGCGCACTTGCCCTCCTGCAACGAAATTCATTGTCGGTCTTCCGTCTTGCTTCAGTCCGTGATTTTAAACTAAACAAAAACGTCGCGTAAGTGTCTCAGCATTGAAAACGGCGAGAGCGAGTTTATAGCTAGGACGGAGAAGCAAGCGAAGGAACAGGAGAAAGCAAGCAGAGTGGGAAGTGTGAAGGGGAGGAGCTAATGCACCTTATACTATCCCGGATCCATCCTGTCTGCAAATCCGTTGGTCCTGTGCGTGGAGTCGGCGGGCATCTGCGACAAAGAAAATGATAGTTGTTTTTGGGAGGGAAGAAAGAAGGGGAAGTAAGAGGGGAGAGGAAGGTGCGAGAGAGGGAGACCGTCACGCTGTTTCCTCCCGCAAAAATGGGCACAAAGAATCGACACCGGTCGAGCGTAGTTATATTAAAGAGGCGGAGATTCGCCGAAGAATCAGTGGGTCACAGGGATGCTGGGTACGGTCACCGACGGCATCGCGTCAGAGACAGTGCTTGTTATATACACGAGGGCTTGGTAATGCGATCCGTTGACTTGAAGCTGAGCCTCTCGCACTGACGTTGCGGAAGGTGGCGGTAAGAAACCGGACTGATTGGTGGCAGTGCTACACTGCCACGGCCTATCCGCCGATGCCGAGCCGCCGACCGTTTTCAAGTTTTTGTTGTTTGAATTAAACTCCGGCTTGATCTTAGACCGCTGCGGCTCACATATAATCACTGTATAACTGTGGTGGAACAGCCACTCTTAGACAGGCTCAGACGAACAAAAAAAAGCGCAACGCCCACCTCGTGATCCGTGGT